TATATATATATATATACACAGTATATATATATATATATATTCCATTTTATTGGAGCTTCCATCTAATGAACAACTTGGTCCTGAGCATTGACCCACAGTTAGGTTTGGAGGAACAAATAGTCCCTTTGAGAAAARGAAGTAAAAATCCTGTTAATTTAGTTAGAATTAATAAGGACTGTGAAAATGTGCGATGTTTTAATGYGTCCGATCATAATTACTGTTATTTGTAATCGTGTACTTCTCACTTCAGCCTTAACATTTAGTCTTCCCGTTTGTAAAATAAACTCCCACTTACTTTATAATCGTTGTCTTTCTTGTTAATCCTAAATTCAACAATATCATTCAAACAGCTTATAATTCAATGCCACTATTAAAATATTTAGTTGCACTTAGACTGGAAAAACAGGCCTGGCTGCTTTAACTACAATTAAATTTCGAGCTGTGCTGTTTTCAGTTAAAGCGCCCACTGACCCAGAGTTCCTTTCTGAGGGTGGATGTTATTTTTACAGAACCGTTTAACCCGACTCAACACAAGGTCTCAGACTGTTAAAATGAAGTCAAAAACACACACCAACTCATTAATGGACTGTTTCCGAATACGCTTATTTTTTCACTCTGCTTTGTTTTACTATAAATCCTGATGTAGATCAGAAAATGTAGATCAGACAGAGCCTTTTCCACAAATGTTGTACAACTATGTACTGTACTTTCTGCGTGTTACACATAAATAATCTAGGAAACAGAAGGTCTGAGTTCTGACCTGAATCCAAGTGGTCCACAAGGTGCATTTCTGGAGGTTATTCTTAGAGAAAGAGCTGCAATCACTGGATCACATGTTGTGCTCAAGTGCAAGAGATAAACACAAATCAAAAACCTTGCTTGTCACTGGTGACACCTAGTGGTGGAACAAAGAATACCATAAAACAAGACAACAGAGTTTGAAGTTATTTTATTATTTGGCTTTTGCAGACTTCACTTTGAGAAGATGGTTGTCGTTACTGAGCCTGTTCTGCAGCACAACTAGACATAAAACTAAATACGGTTTATTTCAACCAGGTATGTTATCAGTGAAAAGCTCCAATATGTWATGGGGACATATGGCAACACTTGCAAAGAAAAAAAAACAGGTATTTTTATATTACCTGTGCATCTGATTTTCACTCTTTCTGCTTACAGATTCCTGTCAACGTAGTGCAAGAGCTGGACTGGTCAGAAATGATTCCTCATGAAGTTTATGGAGCTGATTTTGTGAGCTGGAATGACTCCACGTTCTCCGGTGTGAGTGCTGGTCCTGTCCGCCAGTAACTTCAGAGAGTCAGAACCGCAGGGAGCACTCACCAGGGCGTGGATCTGAGTGTGAACGTGGTCTCGGAGGAGCCTAAAAGTAGCCCGGGGGAGTGTTAGGACCACGGCGACATTATGAAGGCCAGTCAAGAGCGAAGCAATGGATGCCTGCCTCCAAAGAAACGTGAGATCCTGGCACTGGAGCAGAGGCCTGTGGCGGTGGCTGCAGCGGCGCCTCCTGCTGCGGTGCCTACAGACAACCCCCACACAGAAAACCTAGCGTGGCTGGCTAGCGTGGCCAGTGAACGCTGCAGGTCCAGGGAGGCGGAGAGTCCGAGGTGTCCCGTCCCCTCCACCACGTCTTCGCCTTCCACGTCGATCCCGTCCCCGGCCACCCCGCTATCCGCCGTGCCCCTGGCGTCTCTGCCTGCCGTGTACCCRGCTGCCCTTCCCCAGCAAGCTGGAACAATCCAGTTCGCTCAGCTCGGACCCAACGTGCAGTTCATAAGTTCTGGTCCGTACGCCGGGTACATCTCCTCCCACATCATCCCAACTAATGCTAGCTCTGCACCTAGCAGCGCTGCTATATTAGGACAGCGTCCTCAGACTGATTACACCGCCGCCCTCGTGTCCCCCAATGCCAAAGGGGAGTTTCAGATAGGCCTCTCCCCCACGGATCTCACTCCCGTGTCGCTTTCTGGTTCACCTCATGTCCCCAACCAGTACATCCACCTGGACAGCAGAGCGCCTTTAACCGTCAGCAGGAACGCGGTGACGTCGCCCACGGCCCACCTGCAGCTCCACCCGCACGCCGCCGTCCTCCCTCAGACGCTCACGCTCGCCCCGTCGCAGCTCGTGGTCCAGTATGCCGACGGCTCGGCCAGGAGGAAGGCGGAGGGGCACGCTAAGGGTGTGATGAACGGGGAACTGGAGGTGGTCAAGCAGGCGAAAGCCTCCAGCCATCAGCCGGTCCAGAGCTACGAAACCAGACACATCCTCCTGCCCGCCGACTACGGACAGAACCCTACAGGGCTCCAGACCTCCCTGCTTCTTGTAGCCCAGCCCAACCAYGGAGCTGAGCACGAAGCGGGCTCAAATAAGATCTCTTTAGTCCAGACTGAGAAAGGAAGCCTCTGTTTGGGGAAACCAGTATCCAGGGGCTCTTCTTTCTCCTCCGTTTCCTCCTCAGAGGTGGTGAAGTCTGTTGCTCCTCACGCCGTCATCCAGACCTCTCTACCCCCCGAGGAGCTGCCGACCAGCCTCTACTCCTCCGCACAGCCCCCCATCATCGGCTACATCACCAGTGGAAACCAGCACACCGTCAGCTACCACGCAGCTCTGCCGCAGCACCTGGTCATCCCGAGCGGCCAGTCCCTCCTCATCCCTGTCAGCGGCGCCAACAACGGCACGGAAATCGAGGTTAGCCGTGCGGTCAGCACCCTGACCGCCACCACCACCCCTCAAATATCCACCGCCATGCCCCACGCCTACCTGGCCACGGCACTGTCCAAGTGCGAGGCGCTCGGACCGGATGGACACCAACCACCCTCTGCTCTGGTGCAGGCCGCCGCGTTGCCAGCGCCGCCCTCGAACCCCGCTCCCACCGCCGCGGCGGCGGCAGCTCCCTCCCGAGCTCCCACTCCCGCCCCGCCATCCGTCCAAGCCTCCCCCTCGGTCTCCTCCCCGCAGTCGCCCGTGGCTCTCCCTCCGTTCTTCATGCGAGGCTCCATCATCCAGCTGGCCGACGGGGAGCTCAAGCGGGTCGAGGACCTGAAGACCGAGGACTTCATCCAGAGCGCGGAGATCAGCAGCGAGCTGAAGATCGACTCCAGCACCGTGGAGCGCATCGACAGTGGGCAGAGTCCCAACGCCGTGCTCATTCAGTTCTCTGTGGGAGAGCTCAAAGCTCAGGTACGTTCTAAAACCAGACATCTTCAAACTGGGGTTCCAGGGGTCCGCGAGAGGTTTCTTGGGGTTTCACTAAATTGTTAATTTGGTTTTTATTTTTAAAAATGCATGGGGAACAATGAACTAATAAAACAAACATAATAAACTTAATAAAAATATATCTATTTCCATGGAATTTAGGGGTTGAAATGACATTAAATGATCAAAAACAGAAAAAATAAGTAGGTCCTCTGGATGGGTTCTTCTTTAGTGAAACGTTTCGTCTCTCCTCCAAGAGACTTCTTCAGTCTGATGAGTTCAGGTGAACTCAGCCTTATAAGCACTGCCTCCACATGGACAAACAGGTTAGTCACATGCAAAAGAGGGCCATCGCCTAACAATAGGCTTGATTAGTTCTAGTGATCATAGAGGGTCATGTGCCCCATCACCTGACTTATTGGTTTGGATGCTTTGGCTGTGGTTATTTGGTGTTTTGCCATGTGTATGTAGTGAATGCAAGCGGGGTTCAACGACCCTTGTTTTTGTCCCTCTTTCCCTCTTTGTGTTGGTATCAKTGGGGCCTTGAGTCACATCTTCATCCCTGAAAGAGTGACTGCTGGCCTGTAGATGAGTGTTATATGCAGAGTCCTGGCCTGTAGATGAGTGTAAACTGCAGAGTCCTGACCTGATGATGTAGCTCGTCTGTGCTGGCTCATTCTTTTGAACAGTGGCTGTTTTCCCCCCCCCCCAATGTATGACTGATCACAGTCCTCCTGACACTTAACAGCATATGCTATATTACTCTGTTTTTGCCGGGGACCTGGATCTTTGGGGTGAACTAATCTTTGTCGTTATGAGGTTTGGGGATTGAAAGCTACTGGGACGTCATGTTTAGAGAATAAATGTCTCAGTTTCTCTGAAACTCCCACCACATATGGAATGAATCCAAACATCCAAACCAATAAGTCAGGTGATGGGGCACATGACCCTCTATGAACAATAGAGCTAATCAAGCCTATTGTTAGGCGATGGCCGTCTTTTGCATGTGAATGACCTCTTTGTCCATGTGGAGGCAGGGCTTATAAGGCTGAGTTCACCTGAAACTCATCAGACTGAAGAAGTCTCTTGGAGGAGAGACGAAATGTTTCACTAAAGAAGAACCCATCCAGAGGACCTACTGATTTTTTCTTTTTGATTTTTTCTACCTGGATTACTGAGATGCATCAGGACAATAAATGATCTTTTAAAACAGCATGGGGTTTATGAGGGGGTCCATGGAATATTTTTCGCCCTTGTAAGGGGTCCCCAGACCCAAATTGTTTGAGAACCCCTGCATGTAGCATTTCATTTTTAAAGTAATTCTGAGTAGAAATTTAATTTAATACCACCTTGATTGGTGTGGTTGTCGCGTTGGTTTCATTTTATTGTTTGATGCGCTTTAAAAAATACAAACATACTTTGCACAAAAATTCACAAAATTTGTGTTTGGTAGATAATGTCTTTGTTGTAACAACACTTCATGGCAATAAATCATGACTGGCAGCACCTGGAAGTACCAGAAGCTCAAAACAAGAGTCAATAACAGCAAAATATTCTGTTTGACAGAGAAGAGTTGGCTAAATTTTCATGTGCGCAACCCACGCACTCAGCTCTGCTGCTCATCCCACAAATGCATGTTCCTTACAAATGTGGCACCAGTTAAAAGGGGAATTAACAGACTTTCTAATGTTTATTGCCAAGATGCATTGTKACAACAAAGAAGGACGATAGTGTTTCTGCACTACCAAAGACTTCCACTGCAAAGTCATTGACGATGATGAGGGACAAAATAATTGTAAATTTGAGTAATGATTTATTCTGAAAGAGAAAATATCTGCCACACGTGAGGCAGTTGTCACTAATATACAGTTGTTTAATTGATGCATATTTATCTTTATTTATTAACCCTTTCCTTTAATAGAGTTTAATGACATGAAGAATGAGTGCTTCTTTTGTAGCAGGACATTCTGAATGTGACCCATCACATCACATCAAACCCAGGATTCAATCTCAAAACGGTGCGTGGAGAAATAGGCAGCAATAGTTAATTGATTCAAACATTTGCAATAGTTATATTTTGTCAAAATATAATGGTTAAATACTCTACCTACGAGTTGTTCAAATTAAATATCTAAAATATGATTTTAAAGGGATCCCTGAGTTGTAACATTAGACTTTATTTGATAAACACATATTTTAACTGTAAAATAAATACTGTAAATATACTGTAGGCTGTTTAGGTTTGTAAATTTTTAAAAATGTATTTCAACATAGACGGAGCCATTTTATTTACACGCAAAGCACTCTGGGTAAATGATGACGTGGATAGGTCCTTGGTGCGAGGCTGCTAGCGAGCTATATCCACCCTGAAGGTTAATCTTGGACAATATCTGATGATCGACTCTTTTAAATGAAACCAGAGAGCGTTGACAGAGAGGAGAAGGTAGAAACGACTCTCAGTTTAGCTTGTTTTTCGCACTAGCGCTGAGCTAATACATTTAAGGCAATATAGCGTCAGTGCTAGCACAAAGGCTAACTAAGCTGAGGTTCTTCTTCCATGAAGCAGCTCTGTTTTCCTCCATCTACTGTATATTTTCAGTTACAGGCTGAGTCGTTTCTACCTTCTCCTCTCTGTCAACGCTCTCTGGTTTCATTTAAAAGAGTCGATCATCAGATATTGTCCAAGATTAACCTTCAGGGTGGATATAGCTCGCTAGCAGCCTCGCACCAAGGACCTATCCACGTCATCATTTACCCAGAATGCTTTGTGTGGAAATAAAATGGCCCCGTCCGTGTTAAAATATGTTTATCATATAAAGTCTAATATTACAACTAATCAGGGATCCCTTACAGGTAAAAAAAAGTATAAACGACATCCTGTCTGTTTCAGCCGTCATACAGTGTTATCAGCATTTTACTTGGTGTTTTAAATGTCGAGGGGCCTCGTATCAACCATGCGTACGCACAAAAAACTTGTGTGTACGTCATTATCCACGCAAAACTCCGGATGTATCAAAACTCAACTGAACGTGGAAATGTGCACAGC